TTGATGGTTGCCGAAAGCATATTTTCTTGCAGTGGAGGTGGAACGACTTTATAAGGCCACTTTAGTTTTAACATTGAAAACATATTAAGGTGGTAAATATGGGTTGGATTGTTGGGCACTCATGGTTGCTATACCACTATTGGTTTCACTTGGCCATTGAGTAGCAATTTTAGCGAGTCAAAAACTTTCACCACTATCCATGAGAAATTCCTTTTGATTAAAAGTATTTGATGAATTATAAGCTCATATTCATCGGTCTATTTGCTTCTGAAATAATATGGATTGTTTTGCAACTGAAATTGTTGAAACAACACAGAATTTTATACTCATCAAATCACATGGCACATATGGCACATGCATGCAACCAACAGCCAACCACAGGCTTAATTTATGCTTTGCTCAACCGTTCCCTTCTCATCCTCCTGCCGATCTCGTCGTCTTAAATGTTTCTTCTGTTGCACCCATCTGAATCTGATACAAAACTTCGATATGAAATGACAGTGAAGTGGCCAGACAAATTAAGGAAGATATATGCAGCTGCAGTCACTGTCGCTCTTCTTTTCATGCATTTAATTAGGTTGGCAAATTAGTCAATAATATTGCCCGCCTGTCGATCGATTCGAGTAGATGAACAGATTGGTGCCCAATGATGGAGCTACACACAGTGATTAATTACTACTGCTCGTGATGGTGAGCATTCCATTGGAGGAGGACAGCAATTTCCTTAGCTTGTGATGTTACGTAACCTTTGTAATTAGAGACTAAGAACAGCACACATAGGCGAAGGACATCTGACATTATTAGATTAATTAGGGCTGGCTATTTGGTCCCGCTTTTTTGGTTTTACTCGAAATCGGACCGAGATCGGATAGCAAAAGATACAATCCAATTTTTGGGCCTAGATTGAGGTAAAAAAACCATTTCGGACTGGACCCAAAACCAGATAAAGACCGGATAAGAGAGCCCAACACCCAAAATTTAACCTCCCTTTCATGCCTTAGGCCACTCAAAACCCCCCTCAGACCACTCAAATCCCCACAAGCTCAATCTAAAATCAAGACCGAATTGGGACCGGACCGGTTCAAGACCGGACTGTATCCGATCCAATCTTTGGTCCTTATATTCTCGAAAAGACCGGACCGTGACCGGATCAACTCAGACAAATTTAACCGGACCGGACCGTATAGCCACCCCTAATTAGATTCAAACTCGAGTTCTTCGCCTTGTACATGATGGTACTTTGATAAAATGGAAATTAACTTATTCATAAGAATGGTGCCTTCTACGGTACCCCGGGTGAAATCCGGGGTACCGCATACCTTGCGTATGAAAACGTTATCTAGATCTCGAATTAACAGGATTTTTGGGCATGATACTATACCTTAACCATTAATGAGTGAACCCTAGGTCCTAATTATTTAAATCATAAACTATAAACCCTAAGATGGTGCATTGATTTTTTTGCCTATATTCGGACGAATCATAACCGTCGATTATTGTTTCTAATTAAATTGATCTTGGGGTATAATATTTAGAGAATTAAAACCTAGATTTTGATCTTTAAGGTTTGGAGTATAGTATCATGTCAGAAAGATCAATCAATTCAAGTTCTGGATAGCGTTTTCTTACTCAAGGTATGTGGTACTCCTGATTTCACTCTGGGTACCGTAGAACTCCCCATATATATATATGGGTAGGGCGGGGAATTCGGTCCGGATTTTCTGGTCAAACCGGAAACTGGGCAGTTTAAACCGTCCCAGTTGTAACCGGAAACTGGATTCTCATTAATCAAATCCAGTTTGCGGTCTGAGGTTGAGGGTAAATAACCGCCCCGGTCCGGGTCCAGTTTTACCCGGTTTTAATCGGAAACCGGATAACAAACCCAAGACTAAGCCCGATCCTATGAAGCCCAGCCCAAGCCACACCTCCTTACTGTGAAGCCTAAGACCCATACCCAGACCCAAACACAAAAGGCCTAAACTCCAGTCCCAAACCCAAGCCCGACCCTGTGAAGCCTAGCCCAAGCCCCAACTCTTTAGTTTTGAAGCCCGAAACCCGTAACCCCACCCACAACCCTAAGTCCTACAGCCGCGGCTCTCCTCTCCCTCTTCCTCTCTCGATTAATCTCAATCTCTCACCCCTCTCACCCACGACGACGACAACCTCGGCTGACTAATCGTCGGCTCTCACTCCAAAAGAAGAAGAAGAAGAAGAAGAAGAAGAAGAAGAAGAAGAAGAAGAAGAAGAAGAAGAAGAAGAGGAAGACTAGAGGAGAAGGACTCCGAAGACACAACCGTCGATGATTATTGATTCCCATCTCGAGCTTTTCTCCGTCGGGTTCTACATGCGCCAAACTACATCGCCGGTCTATCTCCTCCAATCTCCCTCGCACTCCGCCGCTTTCTTTTCTTGCTTCACCGCACTACGGGAAAAATGGTCTCTTGTAACCCCAAAGAAGTGTTGCATAAAGGTTTAAAAGAGTTGCAACATACTAGCGCAACACTTTTACTAGGGTTGCTTATAGTGGGGGTTGCAAGATGAATAGCCAACTGCTTTTTCATTTCTCGCAACCAAAATAAAAAGGGTTGCGTATTATTACCACTTACGCAACACCACATTAGACAACATGTTTCGAAGTTTTTGCAACACATTTTACCAACATATGCAACATCTTTTACAAATTTTTGCAACATTGAAATTTTATCCGTGACAAGTCCAAATCGTCACAAATGACTAACCAATTGTGACAAAATTTTTGTAGCTAATACTAATATTTTGTGATGATATTATCGTCAATAGAGATCATTTTTGTGACAAGTTAGTGTCGACACAAAAATAACAAGAGTGACATATCTAATTGTCACGAATATTATTATTTATGACCATAGCTCTATCACAAATACATTCTTTAAAATTCAATATATGATTCGGGGTTGGGTAGGTGTCACAAAAGTAACTATTTGTGACCAATTTCTTAGTCACTCATAGTATACTTTTGTGAGAAAGTAATTGTCACAACTACAATGGTATATATGGTATACAATATTGTCAATATGGTCTACAATATTGTCAAAAGAGGCATCTATTGTTATGTTTTTGTTGTCACAGAAAATTTGTTGTATTATACGAATGGTTTTTGCCATAATACGCAACAATGATAATATACTTTGCCAAGAACAATATTTCTCCGGAAAATTGTAGTCCTCACCATCTAACAAACAACAAAGTAAATATGTACAAAACCTATTATAAACATATGGAACACAAGGCAAAAAAAATGGTAAAAAACTTGTCTATTGATCCTAAAATCCTTCGTTGCCTATTCATCGAACACAAAAGTGGTTTCTATGTCACTTTTTAGAGAGTTGATGTTGCGCTGCTACAGAACCTCGAATCCTTTCTAAAATCCTGAGTGGCTTCCCTCAACAGTTCTTGGGACGGAGCTTTCGAATCAGTGGCTCCATGATCTCTTGGTGCTTACAAGATTTCAATCTCCTCCAGCTCCATCATCCCATAGCAGGCATCTGTGCAACCTTTCTCTTTTGGAGACTTTGGAGGAAGAAAGAAAAAAGAGAGTCCCGCGGTAAATAAATCCAGGACCATGGAGTATGTGAGGAAAGGAGACCAAACGTATATGGAAAGGGGAAGAGGAGAAAAAGAAATAATCAATTAAAAATTAAATATGATATCCCGAAGATCCCCAAAATCATTTGTGATACTCGTATAGAAAGTTTGAATTTGTGGGTAACTCCAAAAGGGAGGTCGATCTACACCATTGATTTAAATATCATCTACGGTTAAATGATAATTATCCTCGTAATTTTTATTTCAGCCAACAGGATCTTTTTTCTTACATTAGTATTTTACCCAGATGGCCATACATGCTCCGTTTGGAGTTTGGCTTAGCAAGAAATAATGCTAATCATATTCACCGGAAATAATGTCAATTATAAAATAAAATGATGCAGTCAACCTGGTCTGCAAAAGAATGTCCATTAGTGAGGAGAATTGCATTCCCAATTTTCCATCGTTTTTATAGTTAGCAGGCTGTTAAGAATGGACAATAGTTGATCTGATATTATTTATAATTATATAAGTACTCTTCCTTTTTCCAGGCAACTCAAAAATTAATTATGGTATATGTGTTGCGAATAATGGAGCAAATGCAACATATAATTAATTTTAGTTGCGTAAACTACTTAATATGCAACTTCAAAAAAAAGTGTTGCTATTGTATATCTAAGGCAACTATTTTACACTGTGTTGCAATTTAAGTGTTGCAATAGGGTTTTTTCGCAACTCTAAAAAAAAGTGTTACTAGTGTATATTTGACGCAACACTTTCACATAGTGTTGCAATCTGAGTGTTGCAAGAAGTCATTTTTCCCGTAGTGCCGCTTCCTCTTCTTCGTTCTCTCTCGAGACTGTTTTGGCGGAGGCGGCAAGTTCGTGAGTAGCTCTATTGGCGGAGGTGAGGTCGACGATGAAGGGTAAGGGGCAGCTCTGTTCGGCAAAAGTCAGGGACGGGAAGGAGCAGCTCTGTTGGCGGAAGCGAGATCGACAAGATGACGGAGAAGACATGAAAAGAAGGGTTGAGATTTTGGGAGGAAGAAAGAGAAGGAAAGTAAATGAGGGTTGAGAGGGATCTGGAGGGTTTCTCGGTGGGATTGGAAATGAAAGTGAGAATTTGGAAAATGTGATTTTTCGGGAGAGAAGGAGGTGAAGAGCCGCTGTCGTTTTGGGAGAAAGGAGAAGTTCCGATTTTTTGGTTGAAACCGGACCGGACCGGATTCAATCCAGTTCGGTCACGGTTGAAACCGGCTCCCTATCCAATTCAATTTCCGGTTGCTGTCTTGGTGGAAACGGTTTTAAAAAACCGGGTGAATCCGGTCCAGTTTTGACCGGACCAAACCGTTTCCCACCCCTATATATGGGATCTGTTCAAACTTCAAATGCGTGAGTTTGCTTTCAGGTTTGGATAACTCAACAATCTGGATTGTATTCCAAACTTAATCTGTGGTTTTGACTCTATCTTGAATTTCTTACACTATGTAAAATGTATAGATTAACTTCACTAGGTAAAATATACGTATTCTTGAACATTATAACGACAATTACTTTCAAACAAACACTATACAGATCGAAAATACCCCAGGAAACCCACCCCGTATAGTTTATGCATACAGAACACATCTTTTGTATTCCCCCAAAGCCCAAATGGGGAAGATGTTCCTGTACGAGGAATAATGCAGTGTACAATTCCTCATGAAAGCTCCTGTGAGCTCCTGTTCACAAACAATACCAAAACCCTATATCAGTTCAAATTATTCTTAATATTTACTGCTGTTAATTATTACCATTATCAAAATTTACCTGTTGGGGGAAGTCACCATCTGCCATTTGTGAATTAATCAACAGCTTAATCCCCTTCTCGATCGGCGTTGGATCCACATTAGCCTGTTACACGATCGAAGTACGAATTTTCAACGAAATCAATGTTGTTGCGCGACACTGTTGCGATCATACTGCTACGATAGGCATTCGAATGTAGATTAATTTTGAATGCTAGTTACCTGACCGGCATGAATGAGGGAGAGTAATGCCCATGCAGTTTGAACTAGGTTTGCCCTATCCCCTTTCAAATTGGTATATCCCTGTATTGTTTTTTTCACTTCTAATTAAGAAATTTGTCTTTGTTTTCATTACCCTAATTTGGAACCAAGTATCACAATATAACAAGAAGGAAAATTTGGTTGACCTTGTTTTGGCAAGAGAGGTAGCTCTCCCCCCATCCACCACAAGGGAGTTGCTTGGACAACAAGAATCGACATGCTTGGCGTAGGGCTAGACTATTTGTGTAGCTTCGGCCGCAAGCAACCAGTCCTTCCACTCCAAACCATGTCCCATAGGTGTAGCAAATCCCCCAACAACCATACCTGATATACACATAGGTTTACACATCCCTGGGTTACAATGTTGGAACATAATTACTAGGTTAATTAACAAGCAAGAAGTACTATCTAAGACAATGGAAAAGAAAGTACCACGAGCCGTCATCCTTTTGTGTTTGTTCAATGTAATGGGCTCCTCTGACAATAGCCGCGTCGACTTCCTTACTTCTGTGGGTAGGGTAGTGTTTCCTAAACATGGCAAGAGCTTGAATCGCTGATCCAGTGCACTCCACGTATCTGTAGCCAAGAATTTATTGTGATAGTCAATGCGAATCTTTAATTTTTCAAGAAGAGGAAAACATAAAACCCAATATAGATGTTGCTTACTCGCACTCAATCAACGTATCTTCGAAGAACTCGGTTGGATTAAACTTCTGTAATCGAGAAGAAAAGATATTTGATGAATATTAGGGACTTGACTAGAATTTGGACTTGTTAGTGGAGCTTTTGATTGATCACCTCTAACCACCCATATGCTCTTTGTGGCTCCCATGCTGGGAATCCCCCATTTTTGCTCTGCATTTTTTATATATGTTCGTAACAAAAAAATCTTAATTCCACTACTTTGAGTAATTACATGATTGTGGGTTTCTAGCTAGCTAGCTAGCTTCATATGTGCTTACTTGGAGAGAAAGAATGACATTAACAGCATCGAACAACTGTTCTGCTTCCATCGGCTGCCCCACGAGTTCTTTAGACATTTGAGAGTATAGAAGTGCACACTACACAAAGACATAACATTAGTCGTTAAACGCTTATTTCGATCTCGTATTATGTATCACTTGCTTTGTTAATTAACGTAACGTCATTAAGAAGAAGAAAAAAATCACGGGGAGGTGTGGAAGCTATATATTAACTCACCTTGAGTCCTTCAGAAGTGCAATCAGAAACTTGCCATCCATGATCTTGAGTTGAGAAGGTCCATGAACCTTTTGAGATGTGCCTATACATTGCCTTGAAGTCACCACTAGGGTTCTCTTGTACCTTGTAACACAAGTCTTATGTTGTTTCAAATACAAGGAAAACCAGGTCACACTAAGAAATCAAATCACACGATAGATCCTCGAAAAATACTTCACCTGTGAAGCTTTCAAAAATTCGTGTGCTTTTCGAAGAGTTGGCCCGTACTCGTCACACAAGTTGCTCGACATGATTGCCTGAATTGCGAAAACCGCATCCCAAGTCTGACACCCAAATGTCTGCAATCACAAGCATAGTTAACAAAAAAAAAAAAAAAAAATTCGTTCAAATACTCGTATAACACTCGTTTGAGATATGTGACTCCAGTGATCGAGTTTAGCGTATTCAACGATCTCGACATATATATGTACCTGCATTTTGAGGCCATCTTCAGCAATCCAATAGTAGTCTTGGAGCCTAGCCAAGTGTTTCTTACAAGCATCTGAATTGGGATCTTCCACCCAACAAGCCATTAGACAAAGAACCTTTTCAACACATCCTATGCAGAGATATTTGCTGTTCTCATCCTCATAGTGTATGTGTTCCATGGCCACTCCTAATGCTTTATTCCTCAGCTTGGAGAATGGCCAACGTGTTAATAGTGGCTCCATGAAATGGTGGATGAATCCCCATGTCATGTCTTGCACAAGAGGATGTGGGTAATAGAGATCCTCCTGAAATCAAATCAAATCAAATCTATTAAATTTTGCAAGTAAAAAAAATAAATAATTAATTAGCAATTAAGCTAAGACTAATTGTATTTGTATGGTGAACTCAATCATAATTTCATCACCACCATATCTATATAATTTCATTACCTTTGCAACGGTGTTCCTGGCGGCATTCCAGTTGACCTTATGATACGGCTCGTTGTAAAGTTCTTCTCTTAACGTGCGGATTAATCCGGTGATCGGACCAACAAACCTCTTCCCGTAAAGATAGGACATTGGCATGTAAACCAGGCGACAATAACACAACATCTTACCTGAAGAAAAAGAAAAAAAACAAGATTTTATATAGACACGTGCCGTATATGAATGTTGCCCCATGTACCCATTAACTCACAAGAGATATGTAAAAAGTCTTTTCGAGACGTTGGATCGGACCAAACCTGGATGAATAGGAGAGCACAATGGCACAAGCCAAAACTCTGGGGGAAATGGGTTGCATCCTGACCATTCATAGAGACCAAGAACCTACATTATGGCATATATAATGAAACCAAAAAAAATGGGTCAAAACTATGCTTTTAACTTCATTATTATGAATCCAAAAGTTGGATGGAAAATAAATTTACTTACAGAAACCCAAAACTTTCCCCAAGAAGGGATGCTGACAAGGCCGCCATGATCAAGAATCCATTTCCGACCTTTGAAGACAGCCATGTCTTCCCCATCTTCTGGGCTTTCACCAAGGAGTCTCAAGCAAATGTAGCTAAGTGCTGAACCGAACATTGTGCTGTGGCCTTCTATGTGCAGTCCCCACCCGCCGTCTTCGTTCTGTATTATCAGCGACAAAGTCAGAATTTAAAGCGAGATCATACCGTTACATATAACATATATAGTCTCATACGAAATATTAGAGAGGAATATGTAACACTTCTTAGATTCAGAATTCATAAAAATTCTAGCTAGATAGGTTTTGATTTTCAGGTTGTTTTTTTTTCCAGTTTTTTTTTTATCAGGAATCTGTAGCATATCATTTTTTTTGTTGTTACTACTGTCATAGTCACACAATATATAAAATAAAACAGAAATGAAAGAGCCTAGCTACCATAAGTTTAACAGTGGAATTAATAGTGACTTGCTCTTCTCAACGTGGTTGAAATTGCTTCCTCTGTTATCTCCTCACTCTCCTTCAGTTTCACGGCTTCAAGAATCTCCTCAATCGGGTTTTCCTTCGTAAGCTGTTGAAAATGGGAAGTAAATAAAAATAATTTAACTTGACAACAAATTACGGATTGCCTTCATAAATACAAAAAAATTGGGGGGGAAAAAAAACAATTCATCTTTTTTGTCAGTCATCCAATAAAAACTTTGAGAGAAATCATATAAAAAAAAATCGACAAAAAAGAATTTATATGACGTACCTGCATTCTCATGAGTAGATCAGCACTCTGCTTGGCGTTGAATCGGTTGTTCTTGAATTCCCGGCGAGCCTTCTCAACGGCGGCCTTCTCTTCCGGCGTGCCGGCGGTTGGGTTGAACACCCACTCTTGCCGTCCGACGTTGCCGTTGCCGCTGCTCACCCACTCCCCGTCTCCCGCTATCTTCAGCTTCCACATTATAATTATCTCTCTTCTTCTTCTTCTTCTTCTTCTTCTTCTTCTTCTTCTTCTTATAGACGGATAGCCGGAAGCATAAATGGAGAGTTACTTCAGATTGCGACCTGTATACATAGAGACATTATCAGAGTAAGTTTACCAGACGACGTACCTTGTCAATATAACATAACAATATCATTATGTAAGAAAAAAAATCTTCTTTTAATGCATCATTTTGTACTTTATATAATGAATAAAACATAACAATCATCACATAGTTAATTTTTTATATAAATACATGCAACTAATACAATTATTTTACAGTCATTAGGAGTAACTACGTAACAAATATTATATTTGTCTCTTAGCAATCATCAGACGCAGAAAAAGCTCTTCTCTCTTTCAGGTTTTATCCATCATATCATATGGCGTATGAGTTTTTATCTAAATTTAGATGCTTCTATGTTGTTGTATACACTCCACAAGAACAAATGTAGTATAGATACAATAACAAGTTATATGTTTTTTTGTGGGTCATAATAAAGGAAGGAAAACTGTACTTTTTAGTAGTTATAGAAATGATTAAGTATGATATATATAATATATATAGCTAACTGTTTGATTTATTTGATTGGTTATATATGTGTACGATTTGAAACCAAATCAAATCATCTAAACCAAACATGCTAAAACAATTTAATCAAATCAAACCAATTATCCAAATTAATCAAATCAAGTTATCCGAATACTATCGGTTAAAATGGTTACTACGATAACCAATCCGTTAGAACACCCCTAATAGTTAAGCCCACTCTCCTCTCAAGTTGTATATGCATATTGGAAGGGAAAATGGATGGAAGTTGAATAAATTCACTGTTACGTAATGCTTACGCGATCGTTTAATATATATTTTAAATCTATATGATTATTTGTTAGGAAACAAAACCTATGGATCGGAGTGATTTTTTGTATGGACACATACCAATTTATTCTGTTGCCACTTGCCAGGATATACAGAAGAACCAAAGACGGGAGAGGGATATTATCCTTAGAGGCTTAGACGATCTTTTGATGATTGAATCTGCCGAACCAAAAGATTCTGTTTGCATGTTTAGGAATATCCGTCCTAATATTCTTAATTAAATATCCAAATGAACCTTCTTAGGAAGAATCGCTTCTCGCCAAGGATTGAAATATCGTAACGGAAAAATTTGAGATAAGATATTTTATGTTAAAATCGTGGTTTAACTGTGATTCAACTATTTCATACACCTAAATATCGCCTACCAATTTATCATCTGGTAGAAGGTTTTTCTGGTCAAACCGCCGGTACGGCAGTATTTCAATCCTTGCTTATGACTAAACTCAAATAATAATTCATTAAAAAAAACTCAAATAAATATTTTCATTATTATTATTATTGTTTCAAGAAATTTTCAACCGGACCGGTTGTCTTTCAATGTGATCAAAATACTTTTCCTTCTACCTAACGCGAGTAAGTAACATGTTCCAATTGTCATTAAATCTTACATTTACCTTCTATGGTATTTCCATCATTCCAAGTTCTAACCGATAAAAGCTAAGGTTTAATCTAGCTCAAAATAAACTGCAAGTAGTACTACTGAGAAGTAATAAATGCGCGTGCAGAGAAAGAATGAACGAAACCCTACTTTTGACCCAATAATAAATATATACCGATCTTTCTTACTTGAAAACACAAATATATATGTACCACACGTAGGAGTTTTGGTAAGAGAAATTACACAGAATTAGTGTTAGTATGGTTTGGCTTTTCCATTGTTAAAATTGATTAATTATGATACATCTTCATGAATTTGATGTATTATAGAATTCAAAGTTTAAACGTCCTTTTAAAGGAAAATATCACTTGTATCTCTTCTTTCCAATGAAAAATGTACTTTGTAAAGAATAAAACTGGAACAAAAATATATACAACTATGCATGTATCGTGTCTACATAAAAAAATTGCATTGTATATGAGCATTGTAATAATGACAATAGTCGAAGAAAACAAACGACCCCTTTAGTTATAAAAAAAAAGGAGATAATAGAAATAATGATCATAGGCGTGATATATAATATTCCATTTTGTATCTCTTATACCAATTGGTTCCTCTTCACCAATTGCTCTTTTCACATTGCATTATAGTATTTAGTTGAAAAGTATTGTATTTGAATTCTTCCAACCTTTAATATTAACAATTGATTCAAACATAAAGTATATAATTTATGTGGAAACTTCAAACTCGTATGTTAGCATATAAAATGATGGCAAATAAGTTCTCGACCTCTCCCAATCGCTCGAGTAGGAGTTGTTTGCTTGATGGATTTTGTGATTGATTGGGATTCATCATAGACTCTGTTCAAACACCATTGTTTGCTTCATATATTTAACGGCAACAACTCTATGAGACTCATTGACTTTGAACGGACTTGAAAATTTCACTCTTTTAGGTGAGAATAGATCATGAACTTTGAAATCCTATAAAAAAAAATCATATAAAAAAAGATTATGGACTTTGAAGTCCATTATTTGCGACCAGCCTACCTCTTTAATTTTCTTTCTCTTATCATGTCAATGAGGGCAATAAAGATCAATTTCACTTCATAAACATAAATCTAATTACCAAAATCTATGAAAAAACAATTGCGCTCTTCAAGTCTATAATGAACCCAAGAACTTCATATATCCATGACTTTTCAAAATCCAGATTTTATCAAAACCTTTATTTTTCAAATCCACGAAAACCAAACCATCCGTAAAGAACTCAGATCTTGTGGTTACAAAAACGTCCATGCAATGCAACCTGTTCATCCAATGATGCAACTGCCAACCACAAAACTTTAAGCTGCTCCACGCGTTCAACCGTTTTCTCGTCCTCGACCTGCTTCGCTTTAAATGTTCTTCTCTGTACCGATTGGAACTTCGATAATACAGACATGACAGCGAAATAATTGAGCAGTCTATTTATATATTAATATATGCGTGGTTACAGTTAGGGTGGAAATCGGTGCGATATCGGTATTCCAATATCAAATACCGAAATCCCGAATACCGAATTACATCCTGAAATCAATCCCAATCCCAATCCCTAAATAATTTCGGTATCCCAATCCCAATCCCTAAATATTTCGGTATCCCAATCAGTACCTCGGTATCCCAATCGGTATTATCAAATACAAAATTAATTATCTTTGCTATTAATAATTAAATATATAAATTAGATTTTATTGTTTAATTTAGGGCAAAGAGACTAAACAAAGAGTCTTGAGTTGCCTAGAGCTAACATCTCAAGTTTTTATAATTAGTAATCTTTAATTTGATGAATTTGAGGTTGAGAGACGACTAATACTAGTGTGAAATAGTGATGTAATGATCTATGTATAATTAAATGACACTATTGGTGGTTGAGGGTCGCATAGTAGTGAATGAGAGAGTCTAGTTGAGAGGATGAAATACACATTAGCTTATATTTCGGTATTGATCGGTATTTCGGTATATACCGATCCCAATCCCGTAATCTCTAATACCGAATAACAATTGAAACTCAATCCCAATCCCACAAAATAATTCGTGTATTCGGTAATACCAAATATAGACAAATTCGATATGGTATTCGGTATATACCAAATACCGGTACCAAACTTCCGGCCCTAGTTACAGTCACAGTGGCATGCAACTAGCTAACAGAATGGTGATTAATACCGCCCTTTCAAGTGGAGTAGATCGATGAGCAGAAATTAATGGTGATCAGTGATATCAACCTATGAGTACTAAACACGACCGCCCTCAATTAATGTCGAAGGTTGGTACCTACTGCTCATGATGATGGATTGATGGTGATAGAACGGTTTGGTTTATTTGAAGATATGTAAAATCGTATTGGGTGTTGTAACATAAAAGTTAGTGATAGTATATTTTGTAGTGAAAAATTGTGGTTCAAAAGTTTTATACTGTAAAAAATTGTCTACCGATTTAGCTTCAAGATAAGATGTTTTGCTGGTCGGGCTGTCGATAAGGTCAGGTTTCACAAACACCGATTTATTTGGAGGATTGTGAGGATGTATTTATATTCTTATAGTATACGTACGTACCCCAAAGATTTTTAAAACGATACCGTGTAAGTCGGACAAAACAAGTTAGTAGAATGGTATTTCAACATAACGATGTATATATATATACATGCAAGGTTCTAAAAGGCGCTAGGCGTAAGGCAGGCGCTCGGCTCCTGACTTGCGCCTTGCCCGATTAGGCGTAGCCTAGGCGCGCCTAAGCGTTCAGAGCATAAATGGAAAAATTCTCAAATATTTCATGTTTTCTGGAATAATTCATATAATTCAAGTGCATATAAAATTAGCAATGCCTAGTTCTTAACAGTAAACACTTAACATAACAAATAACAGGCAAATAGTGACCAATCATCTGCTAATAGGTGCTTATAGAGGCAAGAAGCTTGTGCTACGTACCGAGGAGAAGGAAGGAGCAGCAATTGACGAGTTTCGACTTTATTTCCCACTATATCAGCAGAGCAGTGTGAAGGTGAGAAGAGTGATCGATGACTTTCTCCTGCGGCGGCAGAGAGCAGCAAATGAGGCGAGAGCTAGGGTGGCAGGCGGTAGCAGATGGGGCGAGAGCTAGGGCGGCAGGCGGTAGCAGATGTTACTTCCCGTGTTTCTGATTTTCTAGGGCAAGAGGCAAGTTTCTGATTTTCTAGGACAAAATGAAGAGTATTGGGTTTAACCGCCTAAGCTCGCCCAGGAACGCCCATGCACGCCTTCTCTCCACTAGGCGCAAACTAAGCGCTATTCCTACCTACTAAGCGCTACCAGCGCCTTTTACAACGCCTATGGCCAAGTCAAGGCGATCCTCCACCGCCTAGCGCCTAATTGAGCCTAGGCGTACGCCTAGGCGCGCCTTCTTGAACCCTGTATACATGTCCTTCAATGGATAACATACAAGTGAAATGTTTATTATAAAACCATATCCGCAGTTGTACCGGATTTGTTAGTGATAGGATATATATTTATATTTGAAGTATGATTTAATCGAGGTTCGT